GCTCCACCGCGCCCGCCACCCGCTCCACCGCCGCCACCACTGCCACCACCGCCCCCACCACCCCCACCACCTCCGCCGCCATTGCCCCCTGTGCCGCCACTGGCCCCCCCACCACCCGCGCCACTCCCACCTCCGCCACCACCCCCGCCCCCCCCACCCCCTCCACCGCCGCCGCCCCCGCCTCCACCTCCACCACCCCTGCCCCCCTTGCCCCTGCCGCCCTTGCGCCTCCCACTAGGAGCAGACGCGGCCCCGACCCCCTCAGCTCCGAGGAAGTCGACAGCAGCAGCAGATGCAATGGAGGGGAGGAGGGGGGAGGGGGAGCACCCCTCAAAGAAGGGGGTGCGGGGGTCACCACGAGAGGCACCTACAGCTACAATGCTCTTCTCAGCTGCTAGGAGTTCCTTCTCGAGGAGGTCGACAGTGAGGTCAGTGGGGGAGAGGGCGAGAAACTGGTCCCTGACTGTGCGAAGGGAGTCAGGGAGGCGGGTGACAAGGTGGTACAGTGTGAGGTACATCGGGGGGGGTTTCTTGGCGAGGAAATCTGGGGGGAGCGCGGCACGGTAGCGGAGGTCACTGGTACGGAGGTGGGTGATGAGGTCAGCTACAGTGGCAAAGGCGGACAGGTCGGGGAAGAGGTAGGGCAGTGAGAGACGGCCTATAGCAGCAGTGAGAGGGGAGGAGTAGCGCGCGACTACTGCGTCGTACAGCTCCTTAGCGGTCTTATGCTGGCCGAAGTGCTCGCGCTCATCTAACGGCAGGTGGCTGCGAACGGCTAGGCGGGCGTGAGCATCACGGGTCTGCCACTGGGAGCGAGCAGTACTGTCAGCAGTAGCGGGAGGTGCGGAAGCAGCGCCTGACGTGTGGTCATACAGGGAGACATCGTCCTTGGCAGTGATCTGGAGGAACAGGTGGAGGTCATCTAACCAAACTTCAAACTTAATCGGGCGGCCCTCAGCGTCAAAGGTGAGAATAGAGGGAGTGGCCATAGTGGCAGCAGTAGCAGTAGGAACAGTAGCAGTAGTAGCAGTAGTACGACAGGAACAGGAACAGGAGTTGCTGCAGGTGGGGCACAGTAGGGCGGCGCGGCTCGTTTCGGGCGGCGCGGCTCGGTTTGGGCGGCGCGGCTCGGTTCGGGCGGCGCGGCTCGGCTCGGGCTGGGCTACGCGGCGGTGCACGACGAGGGGCGTGCGCGTGGGCGGCTGTAGCGGGCGGGCCGCGGCTGTGCGTGGGCCTGACTAGCGCGCGGGCGGCGGCCTAGAGGAGCGTCGCGGCGGCCTACGGGCGGGGCTGCGACGCTCTGGGCGCGCTGGCTGCGACCTGGGGGCGGGCGGCTGAGGGTCGCGCGTCGGCCTAGGGGCGAGCGGGGCCTACGGGCGACGGCCTGCTGGGGATCGCGAGAAAAAATCGGGCCGCCCTAGGCGGCGGTTTTCCTACGCGCGCAAAAACGGCGGGGCCGCGCTCGGGCTGCTAGCGCGCTGCACACGGGCAGCGTGAGAGGAGAGCGCACGAGGGCGCACTAGGGGAGAGGCGCACGAGGGCGCTAAAAAAAAAAGGGCGCACGAGGGCACCTCTAGCGGAACGGTGGGCCCTAAGGTCCAGAACCTAAGCTCTTAATACCATGTCAGAATCCAGAAGTGATTGAACTATGAAACATAGGAGTACAAGTATGAAACCCTAGAGTTGTGTACCCCTTAAAGGCTAACCCACTATAGCCTACACAGCAATAACACATATATAACAAAGGCTCATGGGGAAGCATTTCAACTTCCGGGCAGCGTTTCTTCGAGTGACCATTCGTGATAACATCGTGGGGCGACGAGTGACCATCCGTGATATTCAGTGACTATCCGTGATAGATTCGCACGTTTCAATGACCGTTTGTGATAACCGAGTGACCATTTGTGATAGCACGCCCTTTATAGTGACTATTCATATAAAAACCCTTAAATATTTGGCCGTGCCAGATTCCGGACCTTGGCTGGAATGCTGGTTTGGGAAAATGTCGGTGTTGAAAGGAATTCGACTCCATCGCTCAGAATTTGGAGTGCTGGCTGTTAGAGTCGATTTCAGCATTACTTCCCTCCTTCCCTCCACTGCTCTCTATCGTGATCTGTTTTCAGAAATTCCTGCTGTTCCACATGACCATACTGTCTGAGTCTAGCACAGTAGCGTGGCACGATGGTGTCACGTGGCAGCACCAAGTTCCCTGGTGGTTAGCCTTCGTTCCATGGGCTGGAATAGCAGCCGGAACGTTGTTCCTCGCGTATCGCCTTGTGTATGTGCCGTACCGCATAGTGCGACGGTGCAAGAAGCAAGGCATTCCCTTCCTGCCGTTCAAGTAAGGGATTCCGTTCCCGCCTCTAAGTAAGGCCCTTTTCTTCCGCCGGTTCGGTAAAAGCATTTTCATACTTGCCGTTTCAAGAACGAATACATTCCGTTCGTTCTGCTCAAACCGCGTACATCTAAGGCTTATTCGAGCCATTTCGCTGCATCGTCGTAGAAATTTCCTCCAAAATACTTTGTCGTTAGTTTCTGCTGCTCAAGGCACACTTATTCTCGTTATTGAAGCACCTGAACAAATGCAGAAACATTCGCGTCTCTCCTCCCTTACCTTAATCTCGAACCGCCCTTCTCTATTCCCCTCACCGAATCCCCATTCCCCGCTTCTGAGGCGACTCAGAACTCCCCCACCCTCCATTCTTGGGACAACTTAAGACTCTCGCACCCCCCATGTCCCTCCTCACATCCTGCCTTCCTGCGATCCCTTCCGCCCATGCACTCCAGGCCTCTCATTGGTCAAGCGCTCGACCTCTACCGTCGCACCCCTCTCTCTGCCCCACCGTCCCCAAACCAAACCCCCTCTCCCGCCTCCGCCTCCGCCTCCCCCTCCCTCTCCTCCGCGTCCCCGTCCCCCGACTCCCCCCCCTCCACCCACGGCCTGTGAAGAATGAGGAATGAAGAAAGAAGGAGGGGTTTCACTAGCAGCAGTTGGGATACATATAGCAAACCCTAACAGGGTTGTACTCGCTATTGAGCACCCCACTACAGGCTAGATAATAACATTCTGACACACCCCCATAGCCAAAGTGGGGTGTAATCAGCACAATGAGCAAGCAGGCATAGAGCAGGAGTTCACAATAGCGAGCAAAGCTAGAGTTAATCACAGCGGGCAAGTGAGGAGGAGGAGGAACTGTGGAGGGAGAGAAGATGGGAGGCAACGACTGAAGCTGCAGAGGCACGGGCACAGGAGCGGCTGACTCAGTGGCTACCGAAGCAAGGGCGACGGACTACTGGAGTAACTGGCTCCGCGGCTATAGACGAGCGGCAGGAGCAACGGACCCACTGGCGACTGGTGCAACAGGCTCACTGGCTACCGAAGCAAGGGCGACGGACTACAGGCGCTGCAGGCGACACGACAGCTACCTTCACACAACCTCCTCCAGCTGCCCCACACCTCTCGACACACACCCCCTGCTCAAACCCTAGTTCTACTCCCACAGCACCCCCCTTTCACACACCCCCTGCTGCACCCTAGGTTCACCCACACCCCACTCCCTAGCACCACTCCGTCGACTCCCACACACCCACCCCCCTCAGCGGCAGCTGCAGCAGTGGGAGACAGAGGAGGAGGAGGAGCAGGGGAGACCACACACCCGCCACCCCCTACTCGCCACCCCCAAACCCTAACACAGGGCAGGGCCGGGCGACGGGTAGGGAGGTTACGGGGGGGGGGGGGGGGGGGCGACGCGCGGCCTCCCAGGGCGCCAAAACAGGCGGCAGAAGGGGCGACGCTCGCCCCCCCCCCCCAGGTCGCCCGCGGCCCCCCAGGGAGCCGCGACGGGCGACGGGAAAAGAGGGGGGGGGCGGTGCACGGGCCCCCGGTGCGCCGCGACAGGCGACGGAGCATGGCCGGGGCGGGGCCGGGGCAGGGTCGAGGCAGGGCCGAAAGGGGCGGCGACGGGGCCGCAAGGGGCGGCGACGGGGCCGCTAGAGGCGGCGACGGGGCCGATAGGGGCGGCGACGGGGCCGTGAAGGGGCCGCGATGGGCCTGGAAGGGCGGCGACGGGCCGCTAGGGGCGGCGACGGGGCCGCGAAGGGGCCGCGAGGGGCCTGAAAGGTCGGCGACGGGGCCGCTAGGGGCGGCGACGGGGCCGCGAAGGGGCCACGAGGGGCCTGGAAGGGCGGCGACGGGCCGCTAGGGGCGGCGACGGGGCCGCGAAGGGGCCGCGAGGGGCCTGAAAGGTCGGCGACGGGGCCGCTAGGGGCGGCGACGGGGCCGCGAAGGGGCCGCGAGGGGCCTGAAAGGTTGGCGACGGGGCCGCTAGGGGCGGCGACGGGGCCGCGAAGGGGCCTCGAGGGGCCGAGAAGGGCGGCGACGGGGGCGCTAGGGGTGGCGACGGGGCTGCTAAAGGTCGCGCGAGGGGCCGTGAGAGGGGCCTCTAGGAGGGGAAGAAAAAAGTCCGTCGCACGCCACGGGGCGTGCAACACACAGAGTAGCAGCGGAAGCAGTTAGGTGGGCCCACAGGCCAGGAGCGTAGATGCTCTGATAGCATGTGAAGAATGAGGAATGAAGAAAGAAGGAGGGGTTTCACTAGCAGCAGTTGGGATACATATAGCAAACCCTAACAGGGTTGTACTCGCTATTGAGCACCCCACTACAGGCTAGATAATAACATTCTGACACGGCCCTGCTGTGTTGCTTCCGCGGCTCCACCAGTGGCGCGAGCAGTACGGGGACGTGTTCGGGTTCACTGTAGGGGCCACGGTGCAACTGCTTGTAACGGATCCTGCACTAGTGAGGCAGGTACAGTCATGTGGCGATGCTGTGATTCGATATGATGTGATTTGCCTGACGTGATGCAATGCGATGTGATGTGATGTGATTTCATGTCATATGATTGCATGAGATGTGATTGCATGAGATTTAATTGCATGAGATGTGATTGCATGAGATTTGATTGCATGAAATGTGATTGCATGAAATGCGCTTGCATGAGATGCATGCAGAACACAATCAAGACACAGTGCTCCGGGGTCCACCACTCACATCCCCTCTCTTCTCACCTTACCTTTTCCCTCCCTGTTTTCCCCTCCCCGCATCACTTCTCCTCATCCATCCCTTCCCTTCATCTCCCCACTCCCTGACAGGCCCTCTTTACAGCGCTCACCTGTCCTCTCTGTCGTCCTCCATCCACTTGTCTCATCCCTGGCAGCTTCTCCTATCAAGCAGCGGGCGGGTCACCAAGACAGAAAGGGCGCGCAAGATACTGAGGCTGCTGGGCAACGGCCTGCCGCTCTCAGAGGGGTCTCTGTGGGCGCGGCAGCGCCGCATCATCAACCCCGCCTTCCGCCCCGCTGCGATCAGGGTGAGTTCACTTGATAGCCTCTTAGTCGTGCTGATGTGTTGACTTGTCGACGTGTTGGCTTGCTCCTGCAGATTTTCTACTTCCGGTGCTTATCCTCGCTGGCCCATGTGGGCACATGACCCACGTTTGCATTGAGCTTGGGCCACGTGTGTTGACCTGCATGCACTCACCTGTGCTGATCGTCATTGATTTGTGCTGACCTGCATTGACTTATTTTGACGTGTGTTGACCTCTGTTGACCTGCATTGACCTGCGTTGGCTTATTTCGACCTGTGTTGACCTGTGTTGACCTATATTGCCCACGCTGACCTGGGTTGACCTGCATTGACCTGCGCTGACCCATGCAGGAGATGGTGGGAATCATGGATGGCCAAGGCCACTCTCTGGCAAACTCGTGGCGACATCAGCTGCAACAGCAGAGCCAAGCAGCAGCAACAGCAAAAGCAACCGGACAAGGCATGCCATCAGCCACGTCCGGTGCCAAGGAGGGGGATAGGGAGGGAGCGCAGGAGGGTGCTTATACCGAGCGTGCTTATAAGGAGCGTGTGGAGCTTGCTTATAAGGAGCGAGCGTGCATGGAGGTGGACGTGCAGGAGAGCATCTCTCTCGTGGCTCTGGATATGATTGGCCTCGCTGCCTTTGGCTCCGCTGTCATGCACGAGGGGGGCGATGAGGAGAGGAGATGGAAGGAAGGGGGGGAAGGGGAGGAAAAGGGGCTAGGGAAGGAGGGTGGAACCACGGCAGTGAAGGCAGATACGGCTGCAGCGGCAGCAGCACAATTACTACCAGCAACAGCAGCAGCGGGGGGGGTAGGGGCACCGGACCCAGTGCAGGTGTACAAGGCGTTGTCGAGGCTGGCCGAGCTGGATTCGAAGAGGGTCACTTCCTGGCGCTCCCTTTGTGCCCTTCTATGAGTAACACTGCTGCTGCCCGCTGTTCCTCCACCGTGCCTCCCTCCACCCACCGTGCATGCACCCACCGTTCATTCATGACAAAGAGGGTCCTGAGGGCCCTCCAAGTACCAAAGGAGGCAGGAAAGAAGAACTCTTTCTTCATTATCTGCCTCGTCGTGTGTGTCGTGTGCCATGGAAACGAGGTGACTTTTGAGTCGACTGAAAAGTCAACTCTTTCTTCATCATCTGCCTCGTTGTGTGTGTCTGTCGTGCATTGCCTTTCTTCGAAAAAACATTTGGAAAGAGTGGATTCCTTTTTGTACCAAGCCTGGGTCTATACACTGGGAAATGTCTAGGCACTGATTCCATCCCCTGTCTTATCTCTGCATGTATCGTTGACATGGAAGGATAAATATACTTCCTGGTTCCCTTTCCGCACTATTGCTATCCCCCCATCGCAGCATCTTGCCGATTCCAGAGAACTTTGCCCTTTGGGCAGCAGAAAGGAGCATCCGCAACCTGACCCTGCACCTCATTGGCAAGAGGCGGGCAGCAGCAGTGCATGCCGAGGAGGCACATGGAGAAGCGCAGAGGGGGCCAGCAGGGCGGGCAGCAGCAGCAGCAGCAGTACATTTGGAGGAGGAGGCACACGGAGAGCAGCATGGGGGGACAGCAGGGCGGGCTTTTGTGTGAGAGTACGACGGCTTATGCCAGCTATGCTTGCTTGCCTTTACTTTATCATGCTATTTCTAGCATAGGATAATCATATGCATGCATGAATTGCTTGATTTCCTAGGCTAGGTGCTTTCCTATATTTTATTATAGTTATAGCACCGAGCTAGGTTACGTGCACCGAATTCTGGCCTTTTCGGTTGCCACCGAATTGCCTTCTACCGAATTCGGTAAGGATCTGTTCGGGACGCTACGCGACCCGCGGAACCTTCGCGTAACACCTGGTTACGGGGCCTTGTGTCGAGCCTATATATAGCCTCGTGTTGTACCCAGGTGATCATTCAATTCGACTCAATTCTCATTCTCTTTTCTGAGCTCGATCCTAGATCCTCACACTTGGTAATCAGAGCTCGTTTACACGCGAAGTTCTTTCGACCGCTAAAAACCAGTCTTCAAAAACCGCGGGGGCGACGCAGTCAAACATCGATTTCGGGTACGTAAAACCGGTTCCGTGTTTTTTCGCTCCCCCTCGATTCGGTTTTTCGGACGCGTTGATGTCAGGCATGGAGGGCCAAGGCGACAACTACGTGACTACGAGCGACATCGCGAGCCTCCGCACCGACATGGAGCAGACGCAGGCGACGCTTCGTCGACTCGAGGCTTTTCTGACAAGCCAACCAGGGTTCGCCACCGCAGCAGCAGCGACCGCAGCGACTGCAGCACCGACAACTCCAGCAGCAGTGGCGACACCGACATTTCACGGACCGATGGCACCACTGTCGCCGAACCTCGAAGCAGCACGACCGAGGCTCCCGGAAGCGTTCGATCCAAGCGCGAAGGGATCCGACGTCCGGCGATTCGTGGCCACCCTCGAAATTTACTTCGAGGCCATTGGCTGTTCGACCCCGCAACACGACGCAGCAAGGATTCGGCTTGCAGCGACAGTGTTACGTGGACCGGCTCTCGAATGGATTTACTACACCGACGTAGCCCGCGGTGAGAAAACGTGGCAGCAGTTTCGGGCAGATTTAATCGAGCGTTTCGAACCAATTAATACAACCTATATGGCGCGGCAGCAGATACACCAACACAAGCAATACAGTAGTGTAACACAGTACACGCAGTAGATGGAGTTACTGTTCAACCGCATCACCGACCTGACCGAAGGCGAAAAAATCCAGGCGTATACCGAAGGGTTAAAAATGGAGATTCGGCGGCAGGTGATTGCGGCGAATTACAACAGCTACAGAGACATCGTGCGTGCTGCCGAGCGATATGACGCGCTGACTCGAGGTCAACCCGAAACACGACGCTTCACGCCGAACCGTACATTCGGCACGGAGCGATCGGCACCCCCCACGTTCGCCGAACCGATGGATATCGACAAATACGACGCGAAGCAGCAGCCGACAAAATGCGAATTTTGCGGCGCAGCAGGACATCAGTTTTTGTCGTGCTACAAAATGAAGAAAGCACGTGCGGCACTCCGGGACAGAAACAGTGGAGCACCCCCGAAGTCAAAAAACGGGAATCGCCAGTATCCGCGGATCGACCTGGCGATCGCGTAAAGATCCGAAAAGCAGGAAAAGGCGACGACGTGGCGACTTCGGAGCGGGCGAAAAAAAGGAGAAAATGATGGCGCGAATCTAAAACGTCACGACCGGCCGGCATCAGGGGAAATCGCCGAGGCGAATGGAGGCTCCGCGAAAAAAGACTCTGCACCGACCGGGAAACTCCAGCCGAAAACCCACGAAAGTAAGAATTCGTTAAAAGTATCCTATAAAGATGCTCTAACGAAGAATATTGCTTCTCGTGGTTTTCAAGCCTTCAAAAAATTCAGGGGGGGTTTAGAGGCCAAGAAAAAGCCTTTAGAAATTATTCAGGTACCTGAGAAGTTGGGCAAAGTACTACGGAGCGTAGAAAAGGGTCGTGCGTTCCGTGGCGTTAATATTCTCTCCCCGCAGCACAGTGTTAAGGCTCCCCGTTGCCCATAGGTGAAGCCTACACAGCTGCCAAGGCTTAGAGGAAACATCCAGGCTAAGGAGAAATTATACAAGCCTCGGAAAAATCCTCCTGCCCCCCAGGTGAAGTTGGAAAGCGCTGAGTCAGGTATAGGAAAAAGGGAAGGTATTAAGTTTGATGTACCCTATGATCCTATTAACGAGACCCTCTTTGGCTACTCAGCACAGCAGAAACCACTACTCCTCGAGGTGTTATGCAATGGGCGACGCCTCCAGGCACTGGTGGACAGCGGTGCATCTCACTCGGTGTGTGACCGCGGAGCATTGGAGAAAATTGGAGAGAAGGCGGAAGAGACCCAGTTTTCAGCAACCATGGTGGACGGTACGAAGCTTCCTATCCACGGCGAAGCATCACTGCAGCTGCATATAGGTGCGTTGAGGTGGAAGCCGAAGCTACCAGTCACCAACATCAAAGGGTTAGATTTTATCTTGGGGCAAGATTTCCTGAAGCGGTTCAACCCCGAGATCGATTGGGTCAACAGCAAGGTGTGCATCTACAACAACAGGAAGCGGATAGCACTGCGAAGCTGGACGGATACAGAGGACGTACCTGAAACGACACTGGCATGGTTCAAACAGACGGTGAACGAGAGTAACACGGGTTACCTAGCACTGGTTATGGCAGCAGCAGAGGAGGAGAAGCCGAGTTCCGAGCTACCTGCAGTAGTAAAGGAGGTCTTGGAGAAATACGAGGATATAATGCCCGACGACCTACCTGCAGGCATACCTCCAGCACGCACCCACGAGCACGAGATCGTGGAGGAACCAGGTGCGAAACCCGTCTCACGTGCACCATACCGACTGAGTCCGACCGAACTGACAGACATGAAAAAACAGATAGAGTATCTACTGGACAGACAACTGATCCGCCCATCCACCTCTCCCTACGGTGCACCAGTTCTCTTCACTCCAAAACCAGACGGCAGTCTACGGATGTGCATCGACTACCGCGCACTGAACAAACAGACAGTAAAAAACAAATATCCCATACCGCGCATAGACGACCTACTCGATCAACTGCGTGGAGCAACAGTCTTCTCGAAGCTGGACCTACGGTCGGGTTACTGGCAGATCAAGATGGTGGACAACTCGATCCACAAGACGGCGTTCCGTACCAGATACGGCTCCTACGAATACTTGGTGATGCCGTTCGGACTCTGCAACGCACCCGCAACGTTTCAGGCGGAGATGAATCACATCCTACGACCCCTGCTGGACGAATGAGTGGTGGTGTACCTGGACGACATTCTCATCTACTCCAAGAACATGAAGGAGCACGTGGAGCATGTCAGAACATATATATAGCTTATGCTGTTGTGTAGGCTATAGTGGGGTATCCCATAGGGGGTACAACCCAATTAGGGTTTCCCATATGTACTCACTTCATTCATAGTTCATTCATCCTCGTTCTACTCTTCTCATGGTATCGAGCAGGTTCCCTCGTGGGAACTGTTCCTAGGGCCCACCGTTTTTTTTTCCTGCCCGGAGCGCACTCTGCCCCTACCCGAGTCGCGCTTCCCTCTCTCTTGGCCCCTAGTGGCCCCTTTAGCCGCCCGTCACGGCCCTTAGACGCCCGCGCGCCGCCCGTCCCGGCCCCTAGACGCCAGTGCGCCACCCGGCCCGGCCCCTAGACGCCCGCGCGCCGCCCGTCCCGGCCCCTCGACGCCCGCGCGCCGCCCGTCCCGGCCCCTCGACGCCCGCGCGCCGCCCGTCCCGGCCCCTCGCCGCCCGTGAGCCGCCCGTCCCGGCCCCTAGACGCCCGCGCGCCGCCCGTCCCGGCCCCTAGACGCTCGCGCGCCGCCCGTCCCGGCCCCTCGACGCCCACGCGCCGCCCGTCCCGGCCCCTAGACGCCCGCGCGCCACCCGGACCGACCCCTAGACGCCCGCGCGCCGCCCGTCCCGGCCCCTCGACGCCCGCGCGTCGCCCGTCCCGGCCCCTCGACGCCCGCGCGCCGCCCGTCCCGGCCCCACGCCGCCCTACCTGCGGCCTACTCGCCGCCCTACCTGCGGCTCGCCCGCCGCCCTAACTGCGGCCTGCCCGCCGCCCTACTTGCGGCCCTACCGCCGCCCTGCCTGCGGCCCGCCCGCCACCCTACCTGCGGCCAGCCCGCTGCCCTACCTACGGCCCAACCGCCGCCCTACCTGCGGGAGCCGCCTAGCAGCAGAACCGCCGGGAGCCGAGCCGCCCTGCCGCCGAGCCGCCCGGGAGCCGAGCCGCCCTGCCGCCGAGCCGCCCGGGAGCCGAGCCGCCCTGCCGCCGAGCCGCCCGGGAGCCGAGCCGCCCTGCCGCCGAGCCGCCCGGGCGCCGAGCCGCACTGCCGCCGAGCC